ACGGGGGAGCTGGCGGTTTTCCCTGCATTGTTAGGCCTCCTTGTTAGAATCGTAGAATCGCTTTGGTTGGAAAAGACCTTTAAGATCATCAAGTCCAACCTTTAACCTAACCCTGCCATCCCACCACTAAACCCTGTCCCTAAGCACCTCATGTATGCTTCTTTTAAATGCCCCCAGGGATGGGGACTCGACCACCTCCCTGGGCAGCCCCTTCCAGAGCCTGACAACCCTTTTTATGAAGAAGTTTTTCCTGATGTCCAACCTAAACCTGCCCTGGCGCAGCTTCAGACCATTCCCCCTCATCCTATTGCCCGTTACCAGGGAGAAGAGGCCGACCCCCACCTCACCACAGCCTCCTGCCAGGCAGTTGTAGAGGCGATAAGGGCTCCCCTCAGCTTCCTCCAGGCTGAAAACCCCCAGTTCCCTCAGCCTTGTGCTCCAGACCCCTCCGCAGCTTTGTGTCTCTCCTCTGGACATGTTCCAGCAACACAACGTCTTTCTTGTAGTGAGGGGCCCAAAACTGAACACAGCATTCAAGGTGCGGCCTCACTAGCACTGAGTACAGGGGCACCATCACTTCCCTGCTCCTGCTGGCCACACTATTCCTGATACAAACCAGGATGCCAGGAACGGAGCCTTTGAATCTTCATGGCTGCTGTCTTCCATTGTTTTGCCTAAAATCTGAAGAAAAGCAAACCACTGGCTTTTAAATACATGCGAAGAATAAACTTCTGTCCATATTTCACTCAGCATTAAAGCATCAGTAGCCAGTGCCTCCTTTTACTGCTTTGCCTCATCTTCCGCACCAAGAGTCAGGCACCCCCGCTGCGACATAGGAACAGTAACGCTGACTGATCAGGGAGGTGAAGCTGCAATGCACCACGTCACCGATACCGGTTACTTCTGTTTACTGTTCTCTCCCAGTGCAGCCACCAAAGATATGTAAAAAAATTAATTACCGTTGTAAATCCTTCCATCAATATCACCCCGTCTGAATGAAAAGTCTGCAGAAACCCAGTCAGCAAATCTTGCTGTGGTCATGCCGAGCAGTCGCGATGGTGTAAAAAACATGATGGAAAAGCTGACCTTTTCTTCAGGAAGCACAGAAATGGACAAAGACGAAGGGCTCTGGTGATGGCGGTAACGATCTGTCACTGCTGCGTTTGCAATTAGCCCTTAATCAGTCTGGAAGAGCTCCCAGGTGAGTGAGGAGAGAGGCTGCGGGGTCTCCATCGAACGGGTACAAGTAGAGCAGGAGCCCAGTAGTGATGCCCGCTCCGTTGTTGGGACAGTGGCTGGGGCCGGTGCTGTGGCTTCGAGCCCAGGCTCCGGGCTTGGGGCTCAGGGGGACCCGCTGCACGGCAGCTTCATGGGACTGGCTTGTCCAGGGCGTCGGGATGCTCTGCACTGCATCCCTAGTGAGCCATATACACACTTTAACGCACTGCCTGCAGTAAAGCACACCAGGCTTGTGGCATCTGCCAGGTTCACTGTGTTTATTTATGCTCAGCGGTGTCATCTGCTTTCAGCTGGATGCAAAATTTTGGTTTCTCTACAGCTTACATACACAAGTTAACATCAGAAGGTTTTCAGCTTTTAGTATTAATGCATTTGAGGTCGTGGAGGAATTTATTACTAAGCAACTTTTTAATTTTCAAAAATCTCTCTTTCCAGGATGTTTTTTCCTATTAATAGTGAAAAAAAACAAAAACGGGATTGTGAATCCTTGTATAAATGTGGAGCAGAGTAGGGATAAAATGCCATTTGCATGATTCAGACAGAATTTGTGTTGACATCAGTGAAAGTAAGAGAGTAGACTTTGGCCCTAGATATATTAATTTGCATAATGTTCATTTAAGGTGCCTTTTTTTTTTCCTCAAGGCTACAGCTTAGTTACATGAAGTGGTTTTGCCTACACTGTTAGCGCTTTGCCCTGTGATCCGTCTACATCTCCTAAAGGGAACAGGGTGTACTCCATTCGCTGTACGGATGGAAGAGTTTATGTGAAACTGCAGGTACTGAAGGAAATGGAGTAGGTGATGGTGCTGCTGAGTGCAAAGTAAATAATTGCTGTCATTTAATATTAGACCTTCATACCCTTTCACATGTCCACATTAAATAAAATTAATTTTCCTGAGGCCAGACAAAAAATTTGCTAGAGCCATGAATCTTCTTGACGTTATTAAAGACCAGCTGTTAGCCTGTCCCTCACAAATAAGCTGCAGGAGCTGGGAATACTGTGGAATTGAGAAAAACACAACTGGGACTGTGAAGGCACTCTCATGTGAAGAAGCTCCTTTCCTTCACAGTCCTTGGTCACTCACTCTGTTTATCCCTCTAGTTTCATCATTTTGCTGCCTTTTTTCATGTAGGGCCAGGGGAAAAGGCTATACTTGGACTGTTAATTAGAATCTGGTTTTATTAACTACCTAAGGTGCTGGTGCTGAGCACAGGAAGAAGCGAGTGTGCATGGCTGACTCAGGTGGGCTTTGTTGTGGACGGTCAGGGGAAACCCCGGCTGAAGCTTCAGAGTGAAGTGAACTGTGATTGCTGCTTTCTTCTTGTCGCCGAGTAGGTACATGGTAATGAGGTTTAGAAATGTGTTAGCTGCACACACGTAAACAGTTGCATTCCCATGCTTGACGTAGCCTAAATTCTTACATGCATGCTAGAACCGAATGCTTGCCACTTGGGCACACATGCTGCTGCAAGTGTGAGTCCCTGTATGGGTACATTTTTACTTTTTTTTTTTTTTTTTTTTTTTTTTTAATTAATTTTGGCTTAGGATGCGATTACCGTTATTTTGTTACAAACTCTCACCTATGTAATCTTCTGAGTGAGATTACTGTATTTAAATAATATGTACCAGTGTACATGGTATCTCCTGAGAACAGCCTCCCATAAAATATGCATGTTTGCAGAACTGAGTGAAATAATGGTGGAGGAATTATAGCCACAGATAATACAGAGATCAGTAACTGTGCTATAAGCTGCTTCTTGCAAATTTACACTTTAGGTAAATTAGTGTTTGGAAGCTGAGAAGATCCCAGCTTTCATGGAAGACCTGTAGAGTGTGCAGGCTGCATCTGATGTCGATGACTTAGTAGCACTTTGCTGAACTGTGTGACTTCGCTGCAGTTCACTAGACAGTAAAATGAGACCCAAATCCCAGGCAGTGGGCTGTGCAGTTGTGATCTGCTGGTGAAAGGCTCTTTGGCTAGAAATCTACTTGGATTTGCTTGGATTATTAAAATTTACTCACAGCTTAGCCTGAGCTTTCATTAATTCGTTCTCTGCACTAGGCATCTCAACATTGCTTTAGGGTATCAATTGTTTCAGCTTTTCAGGACAAATTCACACTCGTCTGTAGCAGTGAGTAGTCTGATACAGGCTTGTGGGTTCAAGGGAAAGCAAGACCTTGGCAGCTACACAACTGCTTCCTTCCTGCATGACTTGGAAATATGAACAGCCTGTCCCACCACACCTAGAAATACAACCTAGTAAGGCACCAAATACTCCCTGGCAAACGCTGTCCCTTTCTTGAGGGACCAGCTGCAGCTGTGGTTATCTGGACAGGGATCTGGCTTTGTAAGAGGCCTTGAAATGGTTCCAAGATGGGAAGAATAAAGATACCCATAAAATTAGTACACGGGTTGCATAGTGCTGGTATCACAGTAATGCCACCCAAGGAGGACTGAACATTGCTTTAGCTGTAACATTAAAAACCACACTATAATTACACCAGTGTTAATAATGGGATAACCAGACTGAGAATAAAAGTAGTATTCTAACAACTTTGGAAATGTTGGAGGAAGGGGAAAAGGAGGGGAGGAAGAAGTCTGCTGAAGTAGGCTTTGCTATGGCAGAACTTGTACGAGAGAGAGGAAGTCCCTTACAGAAGGGTGACTGAAAACAATGATTTTTGTTTGAGTTTAATCCTCAGATGCTGGTGTGAGTGCACATGAGGTCTCTGTCTGTCTGTACATGCTGGGTTTATTGAAGTGTCAAGAGACCCCCAGGTCTGTTTCTATACCAGATTGCTTTGTTGAACAGCGTCCATGAAATGCTAAAGGATTTGTCAGCATTGGATATATCAATTATTGGTCAAAATGTTATCTGATGTACGACTTATCTAAATCAGTGGAACATGATCCCCCCCCTTACTGTCAGTTTTTGAAAACCTGGAACCTTGTGCAATGAA